CTCAATAACAAATACTTTAAATACAAAATCCAGTTCTAAAAAGCTACTGTCTTTGAGAGAGAAGGGAGAAATCAGAGTAGTTCAAGTATCAGCCTCTTACACAGTGAGAAATTAAGGGCGGAATGGTCTTACTGCAGCTAACTGGCTGTTTAAAGGTGACAGGTTGAGCTCTTCTGCTTGTAATTTATATCTCAGCAACAGAACCAATGTTTTATTCACAACCATTAAAAGGGGGTAACACATCTGCTAAAACTCTAGCACAATGGCTGGCTTTGCACTGCAACAGGAAATGTAACCCAATAGTCTCAGAACTTCTACAAACCCTAGCCATTTCTTAATGTAAAAGGATTTGAAAATTCAGTTCACCAAAACATCTGTTAAGCTCTTGCTACTTTAACACGTGATATTCTTTCTGCTCTGTTACCTGCCAACAAAAATACTTGGTTCCATGTAAGACTATCACAAGTGTGTGATAATGGCACTCTGCTTCTAATTTTATATGCCATTGTACACTCACAAAATCACCTGGGGGTGACGCTAGATAACATACTTGGTGTAAGCTCGAAACTTACAATAAATGTATTTAATTTTAATCTTGTATGTAAATAGTAACAAATCAGATGGGTTCTGAATGACTAGCATTAATTTAAAGCAAAAGAAACAACTTAGTCAAACTGTTCTTGAGCCAGCTTTCAAGGAGAGAAAGAGAGAGAGAGAGGGAGAAAAAGAGAGCAAAAGAGCACGAGAAAGAGAGGTTAAAAGGAGGAAAAAAAAAAAAAAAAGTAGAAAAAAGCCCAAGGCAGCCAAACCCTAAAGCCTTAGATTAAAGTCAGCATATGCGTGGTCTACGCAGTTACTTTCAGAGCTTCTCTTCCAATCTTTAATTTACAGTGTCCACTTGTTTCCAATTTACATTTAATTATACTATAAGCGTCTCCAGTTTATGAGTAACTATACATTGGTAAGTAAAAGAGAGGCCCTTTGAATATTAGTAGAGCTACAGTTACTACAATAATAAAATGGTAATTTATTTGCAACTATTGCTTTCTAAAAAAATAAAAAAATAAAAGACTTGTTCTCTATTTATGTCGAGCAAATCCTTGTAGATTTTAGATCTTGAAAAGAGATGGGTGGGGAAAAAAGGAACAGTCTTTCAGTTTCCAGTGCTCTATTTAACAAAAGTACTTCCTGTATACCTATTACCATCAGTGATTTAAATATTGTGTTATGTTTCAAAAGCTGACCAGAGAGCTCTCTGTGATTCAACAGAAGAGTTTGCTATAACCAGCAGAAACATACCACAATTTTTATGCTGTAGTGACTCATAAAACAGGTTTGGAAAATGGGAAGTTGCATTTCTTCTTGCAGTAAGGTATGAGCATTTCCAGAAGCAACTTAAATTATGCCTCTAAAAGCCTCACACTTGAAAGACAGAAAAACCCCACCTAAGTATGTTTGTTCTTTTAAGAAAACCAGATTCTAAGTGATCTGCAAACCTTTTCTTTAAGCAGAAACTTAAAATAGCCTGACTTCAAAAAGTGTCCTAATTACTGAAATCAAGACACCATAGTCACAGCAAATAGCAGCCAACAGGTAAGTAAGAGTGTAATATTAGAATACTGATTCTCAGTGCTTCAGAGAATCAGCTAAAACTGAACAGCTACCAGCAGTGTTTCCTAAGCTAAATTCTGTCATGTTGAATATCCAAGTGCCACGTGCCAGAGGCTGCATGACCTCTCCCCAAAATGGCAATTCACAGTATGCAACAGCATGCATTTCTGAAGAAAATACTACATCTTCATCAAACAAAGTGGAGCTATTCAACATTCAAGAACTGAACAACTACATCAAAAATATATATTTCTTTCAGATACACAGTGTATATTTCTTCATTGTTGGCAACAAAATTATTACTAAACTGTTATGATTTCTAGTAAGCAAACTTTAAACAGATGATTTTATAAATACCACAGAAAATGACAACTAAGTCAAAGGTATGAAGATTAATTTCTCAGTAACAAATTGCAGCCAGGACAGAAAGTAAGAATTATATTGTTCTGGAAAACACTAGTAGGGAAACAAATGTATTTTCTAATTTTCTCCTGCATCTAGCTTCAAAGTTTCCAAAAGAGCTGAAACTCTGAGGGTTATCCTGAGCTATCCACCACTCTCAGAAATATCTAGTAAGTCTATCTTTGTGAAATGCAAATTAAAGATGTAATCAATTTTTAATAACAGCTTTTCCTACAATTATATGAAAAGGCCCCAGTTAGAATCAGGTATGTGCAGCTGCAGTCTGTGTGTGCATATACATACATATATATATATACACACACATATGTACATGTATCTATACAGACTCCAGGAACCTCTACAGTTCAAAGCCTAGCAAAGAGCTTCAAACTGGCTCCAGAAGAATTAGGTTCTCCACATACCACAAAGCTGCAGCAGCTAAAGCTACTGCCTCAGAGATCAAAACTGATGCAGGCATATCTGAACCTTACCTCTCTCCACACAACCTTGACACCAGGTCTCAGTTCCAGTTATGGACCCAGCTCAGTTGCGACTACTTTAAATGCTGCTGCATCATGCTGCATAGTGCAATGCAGACATCCTTGAAAAACACAGGAACGTACAGTTCACAACCTTGGGACTGCACTTTTAAGCTTTAAGATACACACCCAGTATTCTGACCAAGACACTCATCTAAACTCTGGGGTGCACTGCCACAGAAATACTGGAGGAAGCCCACAAAAAGATCCTCAGCAAAGTCTGTTCCTGGTTGGTGACAGCACAATCCCTAAAATAGGAGATGCAGCAAATCATTTGCTCCCTGCAAATCTTAAAATAGAAAAGCCATCACAGTGATGATGTTGAAAATTTCAGCTCAGCTTGTTTGCATGCCCAGGAAGGGGCACTTTTCTAGTTGTAGTGGCAAATGAAACATTGATAAGGTTCAGGGGAACATAACAATTCTTATTAGAATATGAGATATAAAACTGATGCTTCGCCCTCAATGCATACTCTCCATCTGAATATTCAAATAACCCCAGTGAAATACATACAAACATGAAGGACTTACTGAAGTGATTTGGCTTGGACTAGAGTGCACTATTATTCATCGCTGACATTTTTTTTGCTATATTTTGTATTCTCTTTTATGTACCACTCATAAACAAATAGATATTATGAAAAAAAAATCTATCAATTGTTTTAAAGAATCCAAAATGAACTTCAGTGCTTTATTTTGTTCCTTAGAGGATGAGATTATCTGAGCAACTCACACAAAAGGTTCCTTTGTGAAAAAATGTCAGAGCAAATAAAACTAACAATTCATAAAAGTTCCACAGACTGGATCCTTTTCATGGGATGTTGATAACATTCACTTATCCATTCTCAAGAGAACTTCAAGAATTTGTTTTACAAACTAACCCTAACACAACAGAGACATGGTTTTAAAGGTCCTGGTCAAAAAACATGCTGTTGAAAGATATTATTACTTGTCCCAGGTGCCAGAATGCTCATTTACCAATTTCATGGACATAAATAGGTTTTGCATATGTACAGGCTGCAAACTGTAGGCAGAGGTTAGAGGCGTGAAGACTCTCCTGACTGATACATTGTCAGGGCACCACAGTAGAGTGTTTGTATTTTTCCTCCATGGATCTTACTGAAGATCCAGTATTGTTCAAGAAGCTGTTCTTTTTTGGAAACATAAGCACAGTTTTAAACACTCTAAGAAATGTTTTTCACATATATTAAGCCAGTATAAATTAAGATTAATTTCATTACCTCAATGATAATGAAATGTCAAACGAACTTTTTTTGTGCAGCTAAACATACAAGTTCCATCACTGATTTGCTCAGCTACTATAGGTTATGTGCTAGATTAAGCTACTTGAGGATGGATCCCTCTAACTCAACAATTCCTTCTCTGCTCTTTTTCAAATGAAACCAATTAATTTGGTCTGTATAGTCAGTTCAGGGAGACAGTAAGTTATATTTCACCACAACCACTCTTGTCAGTTGTGAAGTCTTCTATAAAAGGGGCCTGGTTTGGGCTTGAACAAATTGTCATGGTTAGATGAGTTCTGCAGGGGTATGAATCCTTTCATTTCCCCAATTCATAGCTGCAAACATTCAAGTGAGATCCTCTCCCCACTCCCCTTTTGGGAATACCCTTCTTTATCAGTGAATAAGGGATGAGAAACAGTCAATAAGTTTAAAGGAAGTCAGTTCTCAATGAAGTAAAGGTCATCCTCCACCTAAAAGAAGACTTTGGACACCTTATAAATAACCTGGGTCAGAGGTTCAAGGGATAAGAGCAACTCCTCCAAGCACTGGAGATGCTGCAAATTCTTATATAGTGAAGCCTCATAAAGTTTGCTATGAAAGAACTGTGTAGCTTTTCATTATGTCATGGTGCCATTCCAAAGTCCAATGGAGACAAAGGGAAAACACCCATTGCCTTCAGTGCTTTATGAGAATCAGGAAAATTGTTGTGTCGTGTTTTTTTAAATATGAATGAAGGTGCTTTTACCACTGAAAGCACTTTCTCTCAGCCATTAATAATGTCTGTAGTATCTTTTCTAACTAGGGCATCTGTTTACATAAAAAATGCAGTCAGGCATATTCCACTTAAAAACAAAAGCAATTTTTTTGATGTCTTATGTATATTGAGCACAGAAATAACTGAACTTTTCCACATCTAAGATGTACAGCTGCCTTCATCATAGTGAAGATCGTATATTCGAAGAAATAAGTCATGCACTCCATCTAACAAGGTACCTTTACTCAAGATTGACAAAGTTAATCTAAAATGGTTGAAGAATCCTTTTCTAGAGCTCTCACTGTCTTGGCATGATGTTTGTCACTGAAATCAGGGTCATCATTACAGAAAGCAATAGGTCAAAGCAGATACTTACATCTGGATTTTTATAACTTTACTCCCCTGATTTGAAAAATGAAGATGTGTAAAATACTGTAAGTCATTCACTTACCATGGATTTGGTGAAAGGTCGAGCCAAGGTAAACAGCAGGGTATACACCCACCAGTTACGATGAATGGAGGAGTAAATCATATTTCCAGGATGGACTGAATTAGACGTCACCCCATGGGGAGAAAGGCGTCGGTTCAGTTCATTGGAGAACAGTATATTGCAAAGCTTGGAACGATTGTAGGCCAACATAGCCCAATACTCCTTCTTAGATGGAGAAAGCAGATTGAAATCAAGTTTTCCAGAGGAGTCTTTAATTTCTGTGAATCTAAAAACCAGTAAATATACCTTAGATACCCCAGAGTTAATTTTGCTCTCATTAAAAACAACATAAAATGTAGACAATGGAGTAGAACTTGGACAGAACCAACAAAAAACAGCAGCTTATTTAGCAGTTGAAAGCATCTACTGGAAAATGCCTGAGACCCATGGAATAGTCCCATATAATATGGCAGTAAAATTACTGAATAATTAGCAAAAGCAAATGATAAATTAAAACAAGTCAAAAAAGGTTTTAATGATTCAAAGCATCCTATAGAACTTATGAATCACTTTATGTTAAATCCAAAAAAAAGTTTTTGCCATAGATCCACAAAAGCACAATTAACCTGGAGGAAATAATGTAGGATAAAATAACTCTGCATTAGAAGCAGAGAATACCAGCATCCTTTCATTTCCCCTTCTTCCCTTCCCCTGATTATTTCATCCAGTGTTCACGTACTGCACAGTTTCATTTAAGTGTTCAAGTAACTATGGATGAGTCTCACTGCCTCTTAGACTCTTTTTTAGATTAAAAATTGATGAATATAAAGGGGTTATAACCTTGGTAACTTGCCATCAATAGTCTTATATGTTTAAAAGATAAATGTAAACAAAGCCAAAATGAGTTCTGGCAGAGTATAATGTTTTTAAGTATACCCATGGCATGGCTGAACACAAATCAAAGTAACTAGTTGATGTTTTTTAATTGGGTCTGACAGAGTCATTAAACACCAGCTGTTTGTTTCTTTCCTTTTTCTTTTTTTTTTTTTTTTTAATAACTAAGTAATGAATGTTCTAAAGACATTTAGATGAAGAAAAGGAAGTTTCCATATAGCACTCCCTTCCCCCCCCCCCCCCAAACAATTTGATTTATCAATTTACTGGCATATCTTAGTATTAGAAAATAATACTACAGTTAGTTACAGATGTATGTTTCATTCAGAAGAGCTACTAAAAATAAAAAGGATTTAGCAAGCTTTTTTTAATACTCAGAGTTTTCAGAATCAGCTGGGGAGAACAGGGATAAACATAATTATAGTACACACTAGAAAAATGTTTTAAAATATCTTTACTAATTTTGCATCTCATGCCCAGAAATGAAGAGATCAGCTGGAATTTCTGCATTCATTCTGTGAGCAGAATTATAATATACTGAGAGAAAAGCAACTACAGTATTTGAACTCAAGAGGAATCCAGGATGTTCTGTATCTTGCAGAATTAGCCCTTCAATTTCAACAACAAAATTTCTCTTTCATAATTTTCAATTAGTTAAAATACATTTCTGAAATTAACAGGACTATTCTGGGAGGAATTTCCTATATTCATTCCTCAAGTAATCATTTATGACACCAAAAATAATCTATAAATAAAATACTTTGTGTATACTGTATAACGGAAACACGGTCGCATATTTTGGGTCCAGTCCTGCAAGTGCGCTTATGTGAGTCAATCTTACTTATGTCGGCAATCTCATTGAATTCAGTAGGATAAGGGCTGTACAATCAAATTAACAACACAGAAATAAAGACAGAAGGAAAGTCAACCTACTTATTATTCTGATTTTAATATGATGTACTTAAAGTACCCAAAAGCTTAATTTAAACAGAATTCATTTGTGCTGAATCCAGAGAAGTAACTAGAAATTAATGAAGAACCAGAGAGGCAAATAAATATTTTGCCTTGGAGCAGTCTAGTATAATATTTTCTGCAAACATGGGACTTTATTTTTCCCCTAACAGGGGGTCTTGACTCCAGTGAAAAGATCCAGCCAAGGTTTATGGAAGTAATTAGATACCAACACTTCTGTTTTACAACATAGTTTAAGGCTCAGAGTTCTCAAGTAGGTCAGAAAGTACTGCCACCCAATAATACCTAATGTCTAAACTAACTCCTTACATCAACTTCTTGCCATTAAACAGATCGGGGGGAAAAAGCACAGTTATTTACAATGATCAGTTTAAGTGTCAAGATATGCCATAATACATGAATTGGACACCTTAGAAAAACGGAAATTTACTAGTTGTGTTTATTATTTTATTCAGACATGATTGTTACATATTTTCTGATGGGCTTCTATAAAACTTGGCTGATCGTACTGAGTTAGCAATGAGCACTTTAAAAAATGTTTTCAAAAACACAGATACAGATGTCCAGAGATGTGAGCTCTAGTTACACATAGCACTTAAAACTGAAAAACAAAGATGCCATTTAAAATACTATCAGAGATACAAAGTTACAAAGGGGAACAAGCAGCTGACAATTCAACATAATCTCCTATTAAATAAGAGCTCATTTATACGTATCCCGTTGTGCCCTCCACATCTGGCAAGTGATTGGAGTTGGCAGATTTATTTCTAGAGCTATCTTGCCTGCCCTGCAGTAGCCTCCCTCGCTCCTAACAGGACTCTGCTACTTGCTTTCACAAACCTGGTGTGATTTGCGAAGATAAGGATGTCCAGATTTTGTTACCACCTAATTACTAGACATTTCATGTCTTTTAACACCGGGGAGGATTATTACTGGCATTTTCTATTGCTTCCTTTCATTTCAGCCATCATAAATTTAAAATGGTAAAAGTAAATCTATCTGCAGTGTGTCATTTATACCATAAGCCCCTGTGTTTGGAAGTGATAAAGGTTTCAGCTTGACCCTTGGCTGGTCTCTCTCTACCAGGTCCCTGGGGTTACATTTTATGGAAACATGATTAAAAAAATAAGCTTCATTCTGGGTCACTAAAACATTTCAGAAATATGAAGGCGGGGGGCGGGGAGGGGGTGGGGGGGAAGAAGCGCTCACACATTCTTCCTTTTGGTTTGCTAAAGCTATTACACATGACCAAAAGTGAAATAGAAATCAACAGTAATGTTTAAAGCTGGACATTTAGGTCTAATCCGACAGTCCTTGAACTAAATGAGAAGGCAGTAAGTGGTTTGTGCCCACTAAAGTTCCAAATTGGGGCATGCATTTTGCACAAGGAATTTTATTTAAATCAAATCCATCTTTCCAGTTATTAATACAAACACCACAAGCATGTCTGAAATAAGGCAAACCTCATCAACATCTTTTTTGCCAACTGTACTTCTCCTGGCAGCAGAAAAGACGAGCATCTAACATTTTAATTAAAAAATTCACCAAAAGAAGCATGGCCAGATTTCTAATATGTATTAACTACACTACTTCCCATTTTACAATTATACAGCTAATGTCTGCATTGAATTCCCTAATTTCTCATTATAAAACAATTGGATTTCATCTAGCAGTTTTTAATTGCATTGTTTCTCCTGCTAAAATAACTGCACATTCTTCTTGGCAAGATGTTGAAGTTGTTGAATGACAAATCAATATAGGTCATGCCATTCAGATTTAATCAATTATTATTCCATCTCCTCACAAAATCAATGAGTGGTCTGAAATGCAGTGAAAATCTGCATTCATACAAAGAATGATCAAAAAATACCTACATACTATTATAAAACTAGAACACACTTTATCCAGCAACACAGCCAAATCCAGTAACAGCCACAGGCATTAGTAATGCTTCTATTTTTAAAAAGATTATTTAAACGCAAATGCTTTAAAGCAGGGCCTTCATTTTCAAAAACTTTTGCAGTTCTGCCATAACCATTTTATGCTCTGAGGAATGCAGATTTCAGCTAAATCAAAGGTAATGTTCACCAACCTGTGTGACTCGGAGGACACCATCACCACCCTAGCAGGAGAAGACCGACGTAAAATGTCTTCCAGAAGCTGGACGAGATAGAAATGTCCCAAGTGGTTCACCTGGAAGGTGGACTCCAGGTCATCTTCTGTCAAGCACCAGGGAGCACCAAACACAGCAGCATTGCAGATAAGGATGTGAAGAGGCCTGAGTAATCAGAAGGATTGAATAAAATTGAATCAGGGAAAAGATAACGAAATAGATACATTCCTGTGTGAACTGGGCCAAGGTGTGCCTTGGGTGTAGGTGTGAGGGCTTCGGCAGCGGCACGGCTGCAGGGGGGTTCTGTGAGAGGGAGCTGCCTCACGCCAGGCATGGCCGGTTCCAGCCGGTTCTGTGGCAGCACCCCCACGGGGCACAGCTCAGCCCCTCAGCGACACTGGTGGAAGCCTCTGTCAGAGTGTATTTCGGAAAGGGCCAAATGCCACACAGCAGAGAGGAGCGAGGCAAGAAAGTGGAAAACAGCAGCGTGAACAGCAGGGTAGGAGGTGGAGTAGGTGGAGGAGGCGCTCCAGGCGCAGAAGCAGGGATTTCCCTGCAGCAGGGGAGAGGCCATACTGGGGCAGGTGTATCCTGAAGGGCGGCCGCCTGTGGAGAGGATGCTGCAGCAGAGGAAAAGTGTGAGGAGGAAGGAGCAGCAGAGGAGCTGTTCTGTACTGACCACAGCTCCCCATCCTCCTGGGCCGCTCAGCGAGGGGGTGGTAGAGGAGGTGGGATGAAGGAGTGAAGTTGAGCCTGGGGAAGGGAGGGGAAGGGGGAGGAGGGAGAAGAAGGTGTTGGTTTAATTCTTGTTTTTGTTTCTCACTATCCAAATCTACTTTAATAAATTAGCCCACCACAACGTACCCTCTCAAGATGCCTACCAGAGCAAGACCACACAGCTTTTCCACTCTCTTCAAAAATACCAAGTAGAACAGTATCACTTTGCATCTTGAGAACCAACAGGACCATAAGCAAACTCCGTATGTCCTGAACATTCAGAAAAATAGTGATCAGCGGGTGCATGGCTGACATGCACGGGCAGGTAACCGGAAAGACTTCAACACTATCACTCTTCTCCCACTTGCTAATCAGAAAACAGTTTCCTTCTGGAGCATTTACAAAAGAAACTTTTCCTAGGGGAGGAGCAACTGCTACCACTTTCTTATGTGGGGTACACATCTATTCGTGACATCTGCACAATTGGTAGGGGGAAAGTGATTAAGAAATAAAGACACAATGCAACAAGGCATATGCCCACACGTTATATACTTCTGCAGCTCGTGAAGTATGCTGTTAAAAAAATACAAGTCGATAAAGACTGATTTGGAAAATAAAAACATCCTCCAGAATCTGTAAGCTTTGGTGGAAAAACTGCACACAATACATATGAGATCCTTGGGACAGATTCCTTCCTCACTGAACTCAGCTAACCCAGTTTAAGTAGAAATGCCATGATGAAGGAACTTGAAATGAAGCATTCCTAATTTGCTTTTTAAAGGGTAAGACTCTACCAAACTAAGCTGGAAAAGAATCCAGACTGTCACATACCTCTCTCATTCAAAAATCAGGTCCAGAAAACTTCAAATTCCTTGACGTCTCCACTGTAATCTCAGGATGCTACACACCTTGCAGCCTTCCCAACCTCCACAGCAAGATCAAGGACAAACACCCTTTCTGTTCTTTCTTGTCTTTTTTCAAATCCTTACAAAACACAGCAAAGTCTCTGGTTTCGGACCTCAGACAGATCTACATTTGCTAGATTGTTTCATCTCTAAGGAAAGCTTGGCACCAATAGAGTATTCTTGTCCCTGAGTCAGAGTCTGACGCAGCAGACCTTAGCAAGCATACCTGAGCTGAAAACCTCAGACTTGAGAGTCTGCACCTGGCATCCCTGGCCCTGATACAATTAAATAGAAAAGGTCACATAAAATAATGACAGCCAAACAAATACCTTTCATTCCTGCACTAACCGTGCACTAATACCCGTGATGTCCTAACACCACAATATTAAGATCTGTCATATTAGTTTGTTTAGCCTGTTCCAGCCTATTAGGTCTTTACTGCAATTGGCCAAATCCCATGATACAAAATCAACCACCCAACATAAGCTCTAATTCTGAAGATAATAAATGAAGCACAACTAGGAAAAATAGCTGCTTGCCCTCTTTTCTTTTCAAAGTACTTCTTCACAACCCTAGACACAAAAGATGACAGGACACCGAGAGTCAGATCATTTTCCTGCATGGTTGAAGGACACATATACTGCAACTCTGAGCATCTGCAAAAGGAATTCTGGAAAAGAATGTGAAGCATGAAGCCCCAGGTTGTCAAACAAAGCTAAGTAATTAGATTCCTTCAGGCATGTTTGAAAAACCCAGATTTTGATAGCCCAGTTTTCAAAAAACGCATTTCTGGGGGAATCAAATGCACCTCAGCTGAATACTGAAAAAGCTGCTCAAGCATCGAGATAAACAGTAGGTTGTATTTCCTTATTAAAATAAATTTCAACTTCAAGCCTGCTGGGAAGTTACCAATGTAGTCGGCTTTAATAAGAAGTTAACAATCTAATATCTGCACCTGTGCCAACTTGGAAAATTTTAACAAAAGAGCTTCAGAAGCAGTATGAAACATCTGTGTACTTTGGGAAGCTCATTTTCTGAAATGCTGAATTTCTGATCTGCCTTTTGGTCAGTGACACTTATACGCATAATATCTTCAGATACATACTACACCCACAAAAGAAACAGAAGATAAAGGGGGACTGTCATTTAGCGGCAAGGTTCTCTCCCTCTGTTCAAACCAACTTGCAAAAAAGGGAGTTTGTTCTTTCATCTCTGCAGCCTCACTCAACACAGTGCAAGCAGGCTATTTACTAAGATACGCAGGATCATATTTTTTTAAAAGGTACTTGACCTTTAGGGGCATATTTTATCAAATGTTTTAAACGTCAGTTCGTTTTGCCTGTTCGAGATGCATCTGCCAAGAGGAAAACAAAGCCTCACGAAGGTTGAGAGTGCATGTGTGGAAACTTTGGATGATTCATCATCTCTTCTGAAAGTTTATGAAAAGCTCTAGCAAGAATTAATTTACAGATTTGTAAATCTGCTGGGAAAAAGGAACAAGTTTCTTCATCGTAGATGCAATTTTTGGTATAAGAGCCTCCTGTATGAGAACTGAAGCACACAAGTACAGCAGTAATACTAAAAATACCATCGCCATTCCTTGCAAAAGCAAATATGGCACTTTTAAAAAGATTGTAATTCTATTTGATCATTGTCATATGTACTATGAAGTAATAGACCTCAGTAAGACAGAAAGGACTCACATATGAACCAAAACTATATTCCACCTATCCAAATTGTAGCATCCTTCATTAATACTAATTACACAATAAGTACCAGAGGCAAAATACACACTCTATACTGAAATATGTCAGCTCAATTAATTAAAAAGATGACTCTAGAATTATAAAACTATAAAATGTAGTGACTTTTAAATTGTCAGAGCATTTAATTGGGTTTTATAAAAGAAATAAAATTATGCTTCAGTCCTTTTCATGAGATTTGTATTTTTTCAAACAACATTTTGTTCTAATTTTTTAAAGTAAAAGTAATTAAAATTAAAGAGACCGTAAAGTTAAAAGTATTTACAATATTCTATTAGAAAAATCTGTGAAGAAATATAAAAATAAATACAGAGACATTTTAAACTAATCCCATACTGAAAAGGTAATATCAGATTCCCTTTCTTTATTTTTAATTAGCATTAGTGGTTTTAAATGGTTAAAAACTGATTTCTCTAGAAAACACCACAGAAAAGAAACCCAAAAGGGTTGTATCAATAGACACTGCAGTTGTGCTTCATTTCAGCTTGGAAAGAACCCCCTCTTGGATTTGGATCCATGTCCGTTAAAGCTATCGGTGTCTCTCGTCAGACTGCTAACAAAGGTCAAATTACTGAAAATTGTCATCCAAGTTTTTGTGACTTGGACATTTACACACCAGGAAATGAGTGATATTACCTGTGTAACAGCCACTATATAGTTATGAATTTCAGCTGCAGATGACAAATTGTAATTTCAACGGTGCACAGCTCTGTACCACCAAACATATCATTATGCAGGAACAAAATTTTTAAGATACATGACAATTCACGCTACACATCTGGCGCTACAGCTTTGCTTTATGACAGGAGTATTTTTAAGTGATAGCAGAACTATGACCTTGATTTCACAAGTTCATTAAAAACGTTGCTGCGATCTACATTAGGCTTCCTCCTGAGTCCAAGGGAAAAAAAAAAATCCCCTCTCGGTTTAAAATAGTTTGTAATTCTACATCAAAGACACAGCTAAGGCCACCAAAAAATGTCAGCAGCAAAGGAAAATTTTCTTTAGTGTTTACTCCTGGTATTGACATTACCAAGCTGCTCCCACTAACCATGACGCCTATTTGATATTTCTGGAAACACTGCATAGTTAAAACCTTGCAGAAGGTTTTGAAAATTTACCCCTATGTCTCCTTAAAATGTCTCAGTCAGTGACTTACATCACACCAAGTGAGCTAATGTGGTCTACCATTACAATTTAAGTATGCACTGGGACTTGAACATAAGCTGCTCCATCATCATGTAGTGACTGTTTCTTATCCTTCACAGCATGACCGAGACTTAAGAATGCACTGCTTTTACTGCAAGCCATACAGCAATTCTAGAAAACTCTCACCGTGCTGGTAAGTTTAGCTACAATTTCGTGAACGTTAAAAAGCATGTAGAATTAACAAGGACATTCTTAATTGTGAATATCTCAGCTGAAAACCATCTAATTTCTTGTGCATTTCACAAGTCTGGATACTTCATTAATCCTTGCACTGGGCAAGTCATTCAGATCTTACATGCTGCGCTCAATTCACCATTAGAAGCAACAAAGCAATCCAACTGCTCTGCAGTATTTGAAAATCCAGTAAGTTAATACATTAGAGAGACACAGAAATCAAGTTGTTGCTATAAATCAGTTAGTTATGAAATTTAATAATCAATTTGTTAATACCTGATGTAAAACTATGATCTGTCAGCAGCCTCCCAAGCTGGCTGTGTGCAGCAGTAGATATTTCCAAGGGAATTAATTACTGATGATTTGCAAAGGTAAGAATAATATTTTTCAACAAATG